ACTAATGTCTACGTCATCGACCAGTCTCTCAGTCGCCGCATTACCCAGTTGACGAAATAAATCACAAACGAGACATGGATATTCGTTTCTTTCCAATAACGCAACTTGAAATCCTCTTACGTATGCAAATGTGATGGAACGATGTATTTTAGTGCAACTTCGCCTCGATCACGATACATCCAGCAGTCGACAGCGGGTAAAATCACAAAGAAATAGGTCGTTTCTCAAGCTCCGATCTAGCCATGTACAGACAAATGCTCACCCCTCCCCCCCCTTCCTCCAAGTCGTTCGTATACTGAGATAATGAAACAAAAACGACTTCATATAATGCTCTTCCTTTCAACTCTAAAATTTTCTTTTATAACCTTTAGTGTTTGAGTGTCTGTCACCTGTTATACCTCACATCGCTGTACGTAAAGAAAAATAAAATCTTTATTCGCTTTCATGCATCATATACACTCCGTAGAGACTGTAAAAAAAACAACCCGTGTGACGTTTGTTAGGTCATAATTACCTCTCGCCTCGGTATATAAGAATTAGTCCCACTTTAAAGGGTTGTGACTGGTCGGGTACTCCAGCATACGTACACAAACTTGAGACAGAAACTACACCTCGGTATTTTTACATAGTACATACGAAAGCTGTGATTTGATGTTAGTTAAAAAAATAGAACTGATTAATAGTATATACAAAAATTGAGCAAATTAATAATAACGTTGATTGATGTTGCATTAATTATATATTATTACCGGTACAGTATATAATTATGGTTCAAGTATTTATATTATAGAAATGATGAATACAATATTAATAGATGTACTGGTGTTACTACTTCTACTACTACTACTAATAATAATAATAATAATAATAATAATAATAATAATACCCATTATTACAAAAAATATATGAAAAAATAGACATGCACCACAATTATCACCGTGACCGGGATTACTTTACACCCGGGTCAGGTAATGTGTTAATTACAAGGTAACATTATCCCACTGACCCCTACACTGTGCCCTAACAATGAAAGAGAAATGTGATGCATAATAACCCGTGACAGTGATCCCATACCCCCATTATCACAACACTGCCTGACGTTATCCTAAATGCTATCAGTTGATGGGGGTGTGATGACCGGGGTATGATAACAACATTATCAGCGACATGTAAACACGAGGTAGTCTTCTCGAACCCTTGAATGTTGTTGGTCTAAGCAAGAAAGCAGATGACTAGATGACACCACACAGCTACGCCAGTCTATCCAATGAAGAATATCAAGGACTGAGTTAATCATTACTCACACACACACACACACTTGGTAGGGAAAAATAAACCAATATGTGTTGAGAAGTGACTTTGGAACTCAACTGGGTATGTGTCAAAACTTGTGCGTGCGTTTCTTTGATGTCTCCAGATACGAACGCAAGTTAGATCCAAAGCTCTCGTGTTGGTTATCGTAGCGAAAGTTTTGTCATGAGCACAGACACCAAGTTTGGAGAGAGAGAGAGAGAGAGAGAGAGAGAGAGAGAGAGAGAGTAATTGTGTAAGTTATTGACTGGATTAAAACTGTAACGACCCTGATCTAGTGATTCTCTGTATACTATTTTAGTTTGGAGTTTCTATTGTATCCTGTTACAGTGTGGGAGTTGTTCTTTATATCCTGTTACAGTATGGAAATTGTTCTTTATATCCTGTTACAGTGTGGGAGTTGTTCTTAATATCCTGTTACAGTGTGGGAGTTGTTCTTGATATCCTGTTACAGTGTGGGAGTTGTTCTTAATATCCTGTTACAGTATGGGAATTATTCTTGATATCCTGATATAATAACAGGAGATGACTATATGGAGCATCTCACCATGATTAAAGACATAACACATTCCATTCTGTATCTGGAGTAAATAATCTTAACATCAACCTTTATATACTGAGTTAACTAAGATGATAAGAACAAGTCTTTTACCACACAAGGTGATATGAGATGGTAGTGATGACTCTCTCTGATGTAGTGATGACTCTCTCTGATGTAGTGATGACCCTCTCTCTCTGATGTAGTGATGACTCTCCTTGATGTAGTGATGACTCTCCCTGATGTAGTGATGACTCTCTGATGTAGTGATGGCTCTCTGTGATGTAGTGATGACTCTCTCTGATGTAGTGATGACTCTCTCTGATGTAGTGATGGCTCTCTCTGATGTAGTGATGGCTCTCTCTGATGTAGTGATGACTCTCTCTGATGTAGTGATGACTCTCTGTGATGTAGTGATGACTCTCTCTGATGTAGTGATGACTCTCTCTGATGTAGTGATGACTCTCTCTGATGTAGTGATGACTCTCTCTGATGTAGTGATGGCTCTCTCTGATGTAGTGATGACTCTCTCTGATGTAGTGATGACTCTCTCTGATGTAGTGATGACTTTCTCTGATGTAGTGATGACTCTCTCTGATGAAAATTTGCGTTATTATTATCCTCACTACCACGTAAATAGATATTGAATTTCTACCACAACGAACCTAGATCCAGTTTGAGGTGGCTGATAAGGTCTGGGTCTACTTTGAATTATATAAATACCGTTTGTCTATCGGTATATATATTTTTTTTATTCAAGGTATCAGGGGAAGAGCCAAGAATGATATACGTAACCTTTACCTGTTGAGTGGGTTCTTTCTGTTGAGTGGGTTCTTTCTGTTGAGTGGGTTCTTTCTGTTGAGAGGGTTCTTTCTGTTGAGTGGGTTCTTTCTGTTGAGTGGGTTCTTTCTGTTGAGTGGGTTCTTTCTGTTGAGAGGGTTCTTTCTGTTGAGTGGGTTCTTTCTGTAGAGTGGGTTCTTTCTGTAGAGTGGGTTCTTTCTGTAGAGTGGGTTCTTTCTGTTGAGTGGGTTCTTTCTGTAGAGTGGGCTCTTTCTGTTGAGTGGGTTCTTTCTGTTGAGTGGGTTCTTTCTGTTGTGTAGATTGATGCAGAGAGACGAGTGTTAGATGATAGAGGCACTGTGTTTACCTCTTGGGATTGATGTAAGTATACAGTAGGACTAGTCTTCAGAAATGTGATATGTTTACAGTATGTGGCCTGTGAACATTAATGGATTACATGACCAAATATACGGGAGAAAATAGAATTAAATCAGTGTTATGTGTGATTTGAGGATGGGGTATGTCAAGGATATGAGGGTGAGAGAGGAGATCGTGTATCTTATTTCGAAGATGTTTTACCGCTCTGCCTGTGCTGTCCCCTGTGGAATGGTATGGTAACTGCCTGATTTTGTTTTGCTTTCATTTTATTGCTCTCTCTCTCTCTCTCATACAGCGTTGGAATAAAGAAATACTAAAACAACAACAAAAGTACGTTCGTGGTTTCTTTATTAACATAGTTCCTCCCACAGAGTAGAAGACTTTACAGTAAATACTTAGAACTATATTTGATTACCTTCTAACAGTTAAATGCATCTCTTAACGTTAGTCTCTCATCAGGCTCAGTATTTTCCAATGTAGAAAAAAAATGATACATAGAAGATTAAATAACTTTCGCCAGATTTATTATCATTGTTGGTTGTCTCTGCCATGTCCTGTCAATGGGGGGGGGGGGCAGAGACGACGATTATGATGAGTGTTTAATATTTACAGACTTGTTTTATTTATAAATGTTTATATTGCTGTGTGTGTTGCAGTGTGACGTAATCTGAGTGACACAAGGAAGATATTAATTCGTTTGAGGGTAATACATGTATACATATGAATATAGATATAGATGGTGTTTAGAATATGTATGCTAAGGTATTCATACATACATGCATATATTTACGTATGCATACATATACTGTACATACACAGATATAGGGAGGTACAAAACGCACACAGAGATATACAGTAGACACACACACACACACACAGATACAAAAACTTACATACATTCCAACTATGTACTTGTCAAACGAAATTACCCCCACGATCACTCAGACAACGTCTACCAGATTCATATAAAAAATCCTGTGAATGAAACATCAATTATCATTATTTTAAGTAATTTCCATAACTCCTCAATCATTGTGCTCACGAGTCCACTAATTAAAAGAATTTCACCTTAGTGTCTAAGCTCTTACTAAAACAAAAATACTATGGCGAAGTAAGCGAAGTAAAATAAAAGAGTGATGGCGCCTTTTATAAATACTTGCAAAAAAAAAACATTGCGTGACTAGATACAACTTCAAGGAATATAATCGTAGATGAGGTTTACATCCGACGATTGTAAATAAGACAAGTGTAGGTAATCTCTTTCTTGATTTAAACTTTTTCTCACTATGGGAAGATTATAATGTATAAGGAACATGCGATAATAACAATGTGAGGGTTTCCACAATGAGGGATACTTCAACTTCTTTGCATGAATGGTGTAATTTTTTATTCAATTCGTATAATACTTGTGTGTGTGTGTGTGTGTGTGTCTGTGTGTGTGTCTGTGTGTGTGTGTGTGTACTCTTGTGTTGTGTGTTCCCCTTAACATACACACAGTTATTCCCAGCCTAACAGTCTTGTTCTCCTAGTCTTACAGTCTTCTCCTAGCCTGACAGTCTTCTCCTAGCCTGACAGTCTTCTCCTAGCCTGACAGTCTTCTCCCAGCCTGACAGTCTTTTCCTAACCCGCCAGGCTTCTCCTAGTCCTAGCCTGACAGTCTGAAACATTGCCTTTTCTCTCGTCTCAAATTAACTCTCACTGGGAGTCGCTCGTTAAGTGGGATTCGGGAGGATTTATATCCAGTGCTTCGTATTCAACCAACACCCTTTAATTGACCAAGGATTATCGGCTATTGGGTTATTGGTAATATCAAATGGCAATTATAGCGAATTCTGAGTACGGGTTAACCCCCCCCCCCCACACACACCAAAAGAAAAAAGAAAAACAATGTGAATGTAATTGTTATCATACACAACGCGCCCGAATTGCAATAGGAGATTCGAACCGTAACTGGATTCGGATTCATGAAGCTTCAAAATAAAAAAATGCCCAGGATATTTCTGTGTTTATTATGGGTTGGCATATAGTGATGGAGGAGAAGGGTGGTAGAGGAAGGGGTGAAGAGGGTAGGGGAAAGGGTAGAAGAGGGAGAAAGAAGGTGGAGGAGAGGTAGAAGAGGTAGAAAGGTAGAGGGGGTGAAAATTGTATGAGAGAGGGTGGGAGATGGGTATGGGAAAGAAGGAGAACGTGAGGAGGGAAAAGGAGGGTGAGAAAGGGGGATAGAGAAGAGGGAAAGAGGATTGATAAAGTGGGTGGAGGGAGAAGGGGGCAAGGAGAGGGTAAATGGTGCGAAGATACGGTGTGGGAGAGATAAAGGAGGGGAAATAGGATGGGGTAAAAGGTATGGGAAGGGGGTGAGGAGAGGTTGGGGAGGGTAGGATGAATAAAGGTTGTAGAGAGTGGGGAGGAGAGGGGTGAGAGGGAGGTAAGAGGGGTAGATATTGGGTATTTATCACAGTATTACAGGTATTTAATTGGCTTTATATGTAATGGAACATCAATTCACTTTTATCTGACTTTTTTTTTTCATTTACCAATTGAAATATTTTTTTCTCTCTTGATTTTTATATATTTTTTTCAATAGTGTTATCTGAGTTGGGTTTGGTTAGGTTAGGTTAGGTAAAATTATTATAATAAATACATTTCTCACTGATATTTAACTTGAGAAATGCCTCTTCTCTCTATAACAACGTCTCTTTTTCCCTCCCATAATATCTCTCTCTCTCTCTCTCTCTCTCTCTCTCTCTCTCTCTCTCTCTCTCTCTCTCTCTCTCTCTCTTTCCTCCCTTGGTGAGAGTGTGGTGTGGCCTTACCCTGAGGAGAGTTAAGCGAAGTGCGTTTAATTACCATATATATTAGCCAGCTTAATGTTGGCTTCAGAACAGAGGAGAACCGAGTGTACTCAAGGGGGATTTTGTCCTTGTAAATTCTACTTTGATTAAAATCCTGTGGTTATTACTCCTTGGGTTATAGTCGTGTTTTTTTGAGTGTGTGTCTTTCTACTTCAGTTTAATTATTTTATGGTATATGGAAAAATGTATAAAGAAAATAGCCTCTGTTTCTCTCTATCTCTCTCTTTCTTGCTCTACTTAAAGTTTTAGAATATGAAGAGGTAGTGATGGAAATGTTATCGTTCATGTAGCGTCGATTGTGGACTTCTATATCACTAATTAGGGAAAGGGAAATAATGTTAACTTTTACTATCAGTTGTCCCCACCTGAGAAGCACACCTCTACCGTGATTCTTCTCTTGTGAGTTTGGTATTAAAGCTGTAGTGAAGTTATACAGGTAGAGAAGATAAGCTTAATTAACTCATGAATAACTAACAGGTAGGTCTAGTTTTGACTCGTAAGTGTTTGAAGAAATTGACTCTTTTGTTGTAATATTATTGAAGCTACTAGACATTCTTAAGCTATTGTTTTGTTAATATAATCCCTATCAGAGCCGGGTTAGCTCTTAGTCAACAGACATAGATATTAGCATTAATACTGTTATATATATCTGTTGTCCTCAAGTATACTAGAAAGAGGTAAGGCAGCTAGTTTGTCAGACATCTTATGAATTACTGTCTTAAGAATAAACTCTAGGTCGTTCAGGAAGCACAAGAACGTATCATTTTCAACAGACCTTATAAGCTATTCATTATATATATACACACGTGTATCAAAACGTACAAACACCACACAAAAGACCATCTGCCCCAACACCCTGGACAAAGCTGTTTCAGGGAACCTTCTTTAAGCCTAATGATACATTATTCCCTATATTACTGTGTCAAATTTTACCAGAAATAAAATATTTAGATTATTTTTGCATGTGAATTCTGAAACAGCTTTGTGGGATTCGGTCTTAAGTATGTTTCAAATGAGTTGTTTATAAACTAATTATTAGCTGTTAATGACGAGTGGAAGATTCATTGTGTAATGATTAAGACACCATTTATTATTAGAGTGAATGATCAATTAAAACAAACACATTTGAAAACATTTTAAAAATAAAATCTCAAAAACTATATTTTCCATAGGCTATACATATAAGTGGTACACCACTAATCAAGTGTTTGAGGGTAACTTAAAAAGAACACTATACTTAAGCACTTATTATAAAGTAAACACGTGTGAACTATTAACAAAGTCTCTATGTTCATCAGTGGTGGCCAGGAGGCATTATTCCAGTATATAATCATCACTCCCCACAGCTTCTCTATATAACACATTCCTATATTATTGACCGTCTAATAACATTCTTTTAAATATGATGAATTTTCTCTTATGTTCCAGATTATTAGATTATGTGCACAAGCCATTGATAATTTATTTCTAACTAGCCATTATTATTTTCAACGATATCAATGATCTTTCAATTACAGCGGGAACTAATTATTTCAACAAACCATTACATTGTGTACGATGGACAGGAATTCCTTTACTTCTGAGCTCTTCTAAGTCCATGGCAACACACTAAAACCTTTATCTCTCTCTCTCTCTCTCTCTCTCACTGTCTCTCTCTCTCTCATTTATGTACACAAGCAAGAGAACTTAAAGGTCCTATTTACCAGCACACCATTACATAAACACGATATATCTCAAGTGTATACTGAAAGTTATATTCACGTATTGTGTTCTCTCTCTACAGTGTATTTCTGAACATCACCCGCTAAGGACTGTGTGTGTGTGTGTGTGTGTGTGTGTGTGTTGGCGCGCGCGTGTGCGTATGTGTCAGCAAGTTAGAGGGGAGTCTCATAGCTCCCACTGACAGTCACTCCTCAGACAAGAAACTGTCAGAGGTGTATTTCTCTCATGGTCTTTACCATCAGGTTACATCCCTTTCAGACGCTGCTCTCTAAGGCTCCGTCCATCAGGGGGATTTCATCGGGTTCCCTTTGAGCAGCAGAGTCTAAGTCCCCGCTAGTCTGCTTCCCTGTCTTCGTTCCCTGGAGTTGCTGTGACCTTTGTTGTTTAAGCAGATGTTCCTGTTGTTGCTGTGCTGTGCGGGTGTGATCGATGGTCGCGTAGATGGTGGAGTCTTCAGAAGAGCGTAATGTACCATTGGCCCCGCTAGCCCCCTGCTTCTTGTGGCCCTTCTGTTTGTTCTTGCCGTTGTTGAAGGTGATTTCAGCGTATTCGACTTCGTCCTTGGCGGAATTCTGAAGGGAAATAATCGTAATGATGAGACGTTAGGGTAACATGAGGGAACACTATGAGGTAACTATGAGGGAACACTGAGGGAACACTATGAGGGAACTGTGAAGGAACACTGAGGGAACACTATGAGGGAACTATGAGGGAACACTATGAGGGAACTATGAGGGAACACTGGGGGAACACTGAGGGACACAGAGATGGTATGACTATCCTGGTCTAACTTTACCTATGTCAAAAGCTGATGTGTTTAATAACTGGGTAAAATATGAGGTTTTCTGTCTTACCTATTTGAGACATGAAAACACACATGCATATTACACACACAATACACTTTTGTCCACACACACACGCACACACACGCACACACACACACACACACACACACACACACACACACAGTAAACCTTAAGCTTCTGCATCCTATCTCTAACAATATAACATAACCTGTCTACAAAATTATATAAATCATATTAGTACAGTGAAGTATATGGAGAGTTATTCATTAATTTCGTAAGTAATATCTTACGTTAATGGCTGAAGTAAACAAAGTTAATTAATTATTATATTTAGCGGCAAAAGTGAAGCAGGTGTAAAAAAATATGACAGACAGGTAGACAGACATACGCGCGCGCGCACACACACACACACACACACACACACACACACACACACAACACAGTCATCTCCATCACTAACATTAACCATCCTTACTTAAAGTTCTCCTCCGGCCCATTAGAATAATTAGGGAACCTCTCATAAGTTTTTCTAAACACACATACACACACACACACACACACACACACACACACACACACACAATTAGACAGAGAGAGAGAGAGAGAGAGTGAGACAATTTCATATCACTGCTAGATTCCTATGAGATATCCCATTAGCCCTCAGTCTCTATAGGGGCCAAGACATGTGTGCTTCTCATATATCACAAGGGAGATCTTAACTCGTATTGTATGGTGAGCTACGTCCTTGTCCATACTCTCTCACCTTCTCCCTCCTCCTCCTCCCTCCTACCTATGTCCGTTGTGATGGAGGGAAGGAGGAAGGGAGAGAAGAACGGAGGAGGGGAAGGTGGAGTCAGTGCTCTCGCGATTCTCAGTTTTTTGTGGAATTTGTTTGAGTTTATTGTTAGTACTGAATGTGTGTGTGTGTGTGTGTGTGTGTGTGTGTGTGTGTGTGTGTGTGTTGATTGGTGTATCCTAATTATAACATAGATATTCATGTATTATAATCGTATACCATATAACACGTAATATTTAACTGTTATCACTCGTTACATAATAACACTTCACAATATAACGCCCTTTATGTTATCACGATTATATCAAGTGTTAATATAGGTGTTAAGATTATATAATGAGTTTTATAACATGTATATAACAAGTGTTGGGAAAATATAACACTTAATGTGAAATATAATAAGTGGTATAGACTGTGTAAGTGTTATGGATAGGTTATGTATATTAGCGATAAGTCATACAGTAGCGTCTCCTGTCGCGGAAAACTATCAAAACAAATTTAATAACACACTATTATCATATTTAATATATATGTAACAGCAACATAACAGCATCAATAACAACAGTAGTTAGTAAAAGCAGCAGTAGTGGTAGTACCAACAGCACCAACAGAAGTAGACTAATCAATACCTCGTTACCATACCGCTACTTGTGTGTGTGTGTGTGTGTGTGTGTGTGTGTGTGTAGGTACCAAATGTTACCGTGAAACATAACTCAGTGTTATTTAAGGTAGGATTGGTAATAATGATAATAATACTAATGATACTAATAATATTATAAGAGTATTTATCTACATATATTTCTATTAGTGTTAGGAGGCAATAATTATTTTTTTTAACGAGTTAGGAACCACAAGTACTTATATCTAACTATACCTAATCAATAACTACATATACAAAATTATATGTATGATGTATAATTGTATATATACGGTATATAATGTTTCCAATTGAGGCGTAATTCATCAGGAGCCACAAGCGATTATTTCAACCAGTCCTACAAGGCAATCAACGCACATAACACAACTCGGCATGCAAGTATTGACATACATACATACAACTTGCACTTACGTGATTTTAAACAGTGTGCTGGAGAACGCAAATAAATTAAATACATTTGGAAGGCAGGGGAGCAGGCAGACAGTGGCTAGCAGGCAAAAGAACAACAAGACTGAAAGAAAAATTAGATAAATACGGGAGATGAGAAAGAGCGATGGAACGAGGAGGAGATGGGAGAGGAGAGTTAACAAAATGAGGGAATGATGATGGAGGGGGGGAGATAAGATAAGAGATGATAAGATAAGAAGAAGGAACAATTATAAGATGAAAGAGTTAGAACAGTGGATAAAGGAGTAAGAAAGAGAAATAGAGGATATGAGAGACTAAAAGATAAACAACGTGAATAAAATAGATGATGAATGAATGAATGGGATGAAAAGAGCAGTGAAGACTTAAGAGAAGGGAGTGAAGATAAGGGAAGTTGGATGAGAAGGTAGAATATAATTTAAGTTAAGAAGGGGAAGGTTTACTGAGGGGGGGGGGGAGGTGTGGGGATTGGGGGGAGTGGGCAGGAAATGGGTAATAAATTGATACGAGGTGGAATAAATTATTTAGAAATATATTACCTGGGAGTTAGTTCACCATTTAATTACCTATGGTTTAGGGTGAGGGAAGGGGGATGGTGGTGATGAGGGGGAGAGAGTGAGAAGGAAATAGGGGTGAGTTAGGAGGAGGAAAAAGAGGAAGTGGTGAAGGAGGAGGTGGGAAAGGAGGTGATGTTACAGGAAGAAGGATGGCAGAATATTACTCAATAATATACAAGTGTTTAAAGTTATCCTCATTATGCATTTTGTTACATACAGTTTGTCGAACATTAATCTTCGGTGGACCATAAGAGGACTCGAGGTTTTAGAATGACTTTATAAACCTTCAGTCATGTTTAAAATCTAAAATAAATACACAAAAATTATCATCAATGTTAAGTATTAATTTAAGGCATTAATTCGATAAGCTGATCAACCCCTCGAGTACGATGACTTAACTCATTGAACAAGGTATCTTAACCCCTTGAGCATGATGACTTAACTCATTGAACAAGGTATCTTAACCCCTTGAGCATGATGACTTAACTCATTGAACAAGGTATCTTAACCCCTTGAGCATGATGACTTAACCCATTGAACAAGGTATCTTAACCCCTTGAGCATGATGACTTAACCCATTGAACAAGGTATCTTAACCCCTTGAGCATGATGATTTAACCCATTGAACAAGGTATCTTTAACCCCTGGAGCATAGATATTCTAACCCATTGAACAAGGTATCTTAACCCTTGAGCATGATGACTTAACCCATTGAACAAGGTATCTTAACCTTGAGCATGATGACTTCTGCAACCTATTGAAGTATCTTAACCCTTGAGCATGATGACTTAACCCATTGAACAAGGTATCTTAACCCCTTGAGCATGATGACTTAACCCATTGAACAAGGTATCTTAACCCCTTGAGCATGATGACTTAACCCATTGAACAAGGTATCTTAACCCCTTGAGCATGATGACTTAACCCATTGAACAAGGTATCTTAACCCCTTGAGCATGATGACTTAACCCATTGAACAAGGTATCTTAACCCCTTGAGCATGATGACTTAACCCATTGAACAAGGTATCTTAACCCCTTGAGCATGATGACTTAACCCATTGAACAAGGTATCTTAACCCCTTGAGCATGATGACTTAACCCATTGAACAAGGTATCTTAACCCCTTGAGCATGATGACTTAACCCATTGAACAAGGTATCTTAACCCCTTGAGCATGATGACTTAACCCATTGAACAAGGTATCTTAACCCCTTGAGCATGATGACTTAACCCATTGAACAAGGTATCTTAACCCCTTGAGCATGATGACTTAACCCATTGAACAAGGTATCTTAACCCCTTGAGCATGATGACTTAACCCTTTGAGTATCATGTCTTAACCCCTTGAACTAAATGACTTTACCGTTTGAATACAATGACTTAATCCCTCAAGTAAGATATCTTAACCCTTGGAACACGAGTAAGATAACATGATAGCTTAGGAGTCAAATCTTCAAGGAGTTTAGAGAAATAATTTTTTACAAAGATACGCGTTGTGAGACGATCATATACTGTACACATTTAACCTTCCAAGTCATGGCAAGACACAGGAACAGGGGAGGAGGTGTTGACAACCATTACAAAAGCAGAGTCCAGCACAGTCAGGTTTCAAGGAAGCTCGAGAGAATAACTTGGCAGATTAATGACGAAATGAATGTAGGAAAATGCGATTACTTATATGAATAATTATGATTAAATTAAGTTGGATTTTTCTAACTAAACTGAAAATAAGTTGAATGATGAATATTCATAGTTGATATTTTAATTGTATTTGTAAATAGTCGTTCCTATCCGTTTTCATATCTATATTGACAAGCTATATTATATATCTAGTAAGGTCTATTATATCAATGGTAAACTATGATATATGACTCCCACTACAGAACCACTGAGGCCCATCCCCCATCCTGTTCAGTATAGTACCCGGAGGAAAAATTACCATGTACAGGAGGGTGGCGCTGGACACTGCCCTCTTTACTTCCTACCAGAGCGGAAATTGTACCCGGTTCGTAGTAGAAGGCGGAGAAGCATCGAATAAAAGCCTTAGTTTATATCTTACTAAAACACCATAACGTATGTTGGGAGTTATTAACGACGTGTGTTAATAAGTAATTAATTTAACTCTTAAAAAAAGTAGAGTGTTTAATAATGAAAGGCATTACTTAATATCATTTATCTCCACTAAATACGATTCAAGATTATACAAAAAAAATCAAAGTTTAGCGATAATATTTGATGTTTGGTTTGAGGCTCAGATGGAGGTTTTTTTTTACCATTATTTGTGGGTCTTTACTCCCCTAGGATTTCCAAGATGAGAGACTTAACTATCGTCTACCTAATGAAAGTAAGGAACATGTCAAGGGTTGTCTCCTGCTAATGAGAACAGTACGCGTCTAGAGAAAATTAAAAATACAACAGGGTCATTATGTCTTCCAGTGAGTAAAGGTGAACGTGAGGCTTATGTGATTAATTGTCTCTGTGTTCAGGTTGTATATATATTTAAACACGTCTTCAGAACTTTCGTGGAATATTTATAGAAAATGTGGATAAAATCTTTTGTGGTGTTTTAAGGTTGATTATTTGTTTAATTTTGTTTTATATAGTTAAGGGACTAAAGCTTGCATATATAGCACTTGATTAGACACTATATATATGCTTTCTTCATCCTGCCAACCGCTGGTCCACCAAATTTGAGGAATAAAGGATGAGAAATTATCTAAACTAGGGGAAAAGTTGTATTATTAAGAGGTGAGAAAGAAGTTATTTGAGAAACAACTTCTAGAATACTTACTACGAAAGAGATTCATGTATTTAAAGTTAATAACAAACATATTAAAGTTGTTTACAAGTTATAAATACTTTTCAAAAAATCCTGATGGGGTGATATGAACTGTGTCCATTCCGAGAGTTCAATATCAGCTAAAAGAGGGAAGAGATGTAACACTATAAATATCAATACACATAAGAAAGTATGAATATTTAGTGTCCTGAGAACTGAAGTTAGACTACTACTGTTGTGAATATCAGTGCATATCACCTTACTTTATGTACAGTATACAGAGCCTTAAGCTACCAGATGACATTAATTCTTACAAAAGGAAATCATAACATCAATAAAGGGAATTTTGTCACCAAATATTTCACACAACACAAACTACAGTGCCAACTCCATCAAAGGACAAACAATCTAGAACACATTTAGATCACATGAATCACCGAGGCACAGACACAGGGAGCTACTGGCAAGACATTACAGAAGGATATAGATGCAGGAGCAATAGGGAGGGTAAGGGGAGAGTGTTTAACATGCTAAGCTGCCTACCTACCTCTGAGTTCTTGGTGTTCTTGTCATTGTTGTCGTAGGGGACCGTCTCGTAAATATTGGCGTGTTTCAGCTTCTGAGGGATGCCGTCGACATCCTCGTAGGCAGGGTCGGCTACATGGTGTTGTGGAGGGAGAACACAAGGTTACTTGTGATGTGAGTAGGGAGTTAAGTTACCTAGTTGAAGTGTGTGTGTGTGCGCGTGTGCGTGTGCGTGTGTTTGTGTGTGTGTGAGAGCATCTATGAATATGTTTATAATTACAGTGATAATAATCATAATAATGAATAATAATATACGATTTATTTCTAAGAATTGGATACACAACATAAGTAACTGTGAAGATACTGCCAGTAAGAATTTATGTACTTACAATGAACTAGTGATACAATGAAGTAAACTACGAGCATTATACATAACCGAGACGTGATAGCATATAACATCATGGTAATAGTGTCAACATTTGGGTTCATCGCCAAACACACAACTCAACGGCGTCAGTCATTACAGCTCTTAGTTAAATATTGTAATGATGGCTGACGAGTCCTTGTAACTTTCAGTCTTGTTTATGGCTGTATTAGTAATGGCGAGTGAGTTGAATTTATTGATGGAGTTTTATAGCGGGTGGTGATGAGGGGCTGCTTGACCTAACACACACACTCGTTTGTACTGTATATCCCTTATACCCACATGACACCTTTAAGACTTAAGGACCATAAAGGGTAACTTTCGTCATCGTCTCCTATGATAATTCTACCATGTGTCTGTACTATGTTTCCCTTTATGCAGTCCCTAAATGAACCTTGAGTATCATACAGGAAGAACAATAACACTAGATAATCTAAGTTCAGAGTTATCGAAGAAATTTGATCAGATTTTAATATATAAACATTTAGAATCAATGTCTTATTATTCCATAACTTAAATGTTGACCATTATTCTGCCTGACCGACTATGTGTTCAGCAAGATCAGTCCACTCAGTCACTGATATGTATGACAAATAACCTCTAATACAGTCAATAATAAACAGAGGAATATTATACGAGGGTTACAGTATGTGGCTCATGTGGTTCCATATGTTTTTGTTTGCATTCTTAGTGGGGAGATGAATATAACTTATCGTGTTTGGGTATAGAGGTCTTGACGGGCATTTCCTCAGGTTTGTTCAGTCATATAACTAAGGTATTGGAACACGCTTTAGTGACTGTGGGTATAAGAAGATCTTTAACAGTTTGTCATGATGATGTTGATGATGATGATGATGATGATGATGATGTGTAATTGTATATATGTCTGTGTTTGTATGTTTCTGTATATGAAAACAAATTCTAAATAACAGTTTAAATAATACACATGCTAAACAAACACATTAACTACCAATTTAAATGCAGCCAATACTATTTATTTTACTAATCATCCCAACCCGCTACTGTACATTCAAGATCAACTTCCCAAAAGCAGATGACATGCACGGATAACAACAAAATTATCGTATTCCCCTTAAAACTCCACATAGTTGTAGGAATGTAGCCCCTTCCATCTTACTTCAACCACATAAACTACTACACTACAACACGTCGTCAGTAATCACCTACCTACGATACCTACAGTACTTCCAATTTTTATACCGAGCTTTACCATCCAGTTCCCGATGGCGGTCTCCAATCTGATGTTATTATTCACAGGCACTACAAGGACAGAACTTATATTGAAAAACCTTCTGATGGATCAACCTGAAGAAGGCTTACCACCATATAAACACGGCCCTCACCACAAGCACAATCTCTTCCCCCCAAAAATAAGGTCCTGAATAGATATGTCGATGGCCTCAGCAATACCCCTAGACTAACGCCACGACAATAACAAAAAATACACGACAATCACAACAATAACAACCCGTATGGTGTATCAATCTTCACCATAACTACTTCATTATACCACCATGATAAATTTACTCATCATACCATTTTAACAACCCTCAATTCCATCACAATGACAAATTTTACCACGACACCGCCATAATATCTTCGCCATAACACCATCATAACAACACCATCATAAAAAAAACCTTCACTGCAACACCTTCACCATAACACCATCATAATACCATCATAACAACACGTTCACTACAACGCCTTCACTACAACACCTTCACTACAACACCTTCACCATAACACCTTCACTACAACACCTTCACTACAACACCTTCACTACAACACCATCACTACAATACCTTCACCACAACACCTTCACTACAACACCATCACTACAACACCATCACTACAACACCTTCACTACAACACCATCACTACAACACCATCACTACAACACCTTCACCACAACACCTTCACTACAACACCTTCACTACAACACCTTCACTACAACACCTTCACTACAACACCTTCACTACAACACCTTCACTACTAACACCTTCACCACAACACCTTCACTAGTCATCTTCACCATCACTACAACACATCACTTCACCTTCTCACCATCACTACAACACCATCACTTACCTTCACTACAACACCTTCACCATAACACCATCATAACACCATCATAACAACACCTTCACTACAACACCTTCACTACAACACCTTCACCACAACACCATCACTACAACACCATCACTACAACACCTTCACCACAACACCTTCACCACAACACCTTCACCACAACACCTTTACTGCAACACCTTCACCATAACACCATCAGAATAATGCCCCTCATTACCACAAATAATAACAACTCCCATTACAACATAGCACCATTATATCACAACACTGTAGTTACCACCACAAGAACTACCCCTCCCTCTCCCTCCCTCTCTCTACCTCTCCCTCTCTCCCTCCCTCTCCCTCTCTCTCTCTCTCCCTCTCCCTACCTCTTCCTGCGGGTCCAAGGAGCTACTTGAGTGAGTCTGGTCCACTTGACTGTTAGTCTCTCTCTCTCAAGTGTACAGGTAGCATCTCACCCTCTCTTTAAAGTGTATAGTAGCATCTCTCTTTAAAGTATAGATAGCATCTCTCTCTCTCTCTCTTTTTAAAGTGTATAGATAGCATCTCTCTCTCTCTCTCTCTTTAAAGGTATAGATATATCTCTCTCTTTAAAGTGTATAGGTAGTCTCTATCTATCTATATAGTAACATGACGTTCCATTTCACAATGTTATTCTCTGTCTCTCTCTCTCACCGCTCACTCACCAGTGCGACAGAGGATCACATCGGGACCATCGCTGCCATCCTTGCTGTGGTGTAGAGGAGTGTGGGGTACCTTGATGCCTGATGCTGGGTCGTGGCGCTCCTTGGCTCTACGTGAGTTCCCCCTCAGCTTCATCACCACCACCACCACGATCGCCACCAGCACCAGAAATCCGACCACGCAGATCAGACCTCCCAGGATAGGAGTGATGGGGAAGATATGTGTAGAGGGCGTAGCTGAGGAGTACACATTAGTAGTTTATTAATGAGGTAATTATATAGAACAGACTTCAGGTGATGGTCATAAGAATCTGAAAAAAAAAGTGAAAATCGTCATATATTTAGAGTTTGATATTATTGTTCTTGGTTTTGTTTTGTGTATGTCTTCGTATTTGACTATCAGAGTGTCCTTAATTTCTGTTTATCACCTTCTCTCTATCTTACTCTCTCTATACACACACATTCACCTACGAAAAAAAGTAGTGAGTCTTCGTTTACTATCATAACCAAACTATAATCACATTAGGGTTAGGTTAGGTAAGGTTAGGCTATGTTAGGTTAGGTTAGGTTAGGTTAGGTTAAGCTAATTGGGTTAGTAATGATATATTCTTTAATAGTTATTATTTGTTTTTCTACGTAATATCGCACTTGTATAAAAATATTTAAATATATATATTTTTTTATTCTACATATAGCAGCCGTCAAATCCTTGGTAGAGCAGGTAAAGTCTGGCGTGGGTTGTAGAGCCGCAGGGTGAACACTGACCAATTTGTTGCGGTTTCATGTATGTAAATCTGATCAAAGTTTGAAGAATAGCTTTACTTTTCATGAATAGTATAGCAGGTGTTGGGTAAGTGAGCCGCTACACACACTGCCACACACGCTTTAATAAAAAATGTCTCCAAGTTTATCTGTGACCAAGAAAAAACACCTTTTTTCCTCGTTTAATGTATGTTTGACATTCGTTCTGTCTAATTGTTTCCTACTCCATTGATGTTTCTGTCTCCTGATTAATAATCTAATGAACATTATCATATATAAATACACTAACACTTTCATGTACTGGGCATATATCGTGTACCTCCTAACTATTGTCTACCTAATTTCTAGATTATAATTTAGTTTCTCATTTAACAAACTAAACTTACGTTATCAGGACCATATAGTTGGCACTGCACATTAAAAAAACTTGTCTATAACATTATATCAACAAAGTTTTCCTCTTGAAATGATTGAAGCAGACATGAACGTTAGCTCATAATATAATAAATAGAATGTGATACAATGGCAGCGAGTAATCCACTTTTCTTCAAATTGAGACATGATATAATGATGATAACTTGGTGTATGATAGTGACCATGACTGTTGTGAGGGCGAGAGTACTGCCTGTGGTAGGTGCTGGTGTTCTGGGCCCTCACTATCACAGCAACTACCGAACAAGCACAATAACAATCAATTTTCTACTCGTGCATATATATATATATATATATATATATATATATATATATATATATATATATATATATATATATATATATATATATATATATATATATATATATATATATATATATATATATACTGATAAGCTGCCGCAACAAAAGATGTCAAGTACGAAAATAAAAAAGTCAAGGAAAGTTATAGAAGCAGAGTTAGCAGGAGAAGAGCCAGCAGGCAGGTGATAAAAACCGAGAGAGAAGATAAAGTTGCTGATATCGACGGGTTGTGGCCGTGAGACAACCCAAACTTTATTATTTGCGACTCCATCACGACGTGAGGCCCTGCACCCACCACAACACTCCCGGGGCTCTCACTCCTATTTTTCTTCTTCCTCACTGCAGGCGCCTGGCTGGACCACAACCCAACCCCCCAAAAACGGAAACATGGTACAGAATGTCTTTATTATAACTCAGCATCGTCATGATCACTCTCCTTTTTAGGGAGTTAATGGAACGCTCATTACGACGTCTTGTCTTTACCAAGGAATAGATGAGGTATTTCTTAACCTCCATTTGTCTCTCAATCTGCCGCGTCTTATTGTAGTGAATGTTTCGAGGAGTCATCTTGTGGCGTGTCTTAACCTCTGTCTGTATGTATATAACTTGGATGTTTTGGTTTCGTCTAATTTAAATTGTCTTGGTTTGTTTTGGTGATGTATCTGGTTGTTGTTGTTGTTCGTTTTCTTTCTTCTCTAATTGGTGATTTAATACAAAAAGTAATATAGACGAATCAAAATAAAAGAAAACAATGCTTAAAACATATTATCTCTCCTTCACTGTTTCTGTTTCCTTATTCTTTTAAATTATTCTTTTCCTTATCTTGGTTTTCTCTTTACCCTTCAGTAAAAAATAATAACTAAACTGAGGCGCGCGCACACACCCACACACCCATATACCCACACACCCACACACCCATATACCCACACACCCACACACCCACACACCCACACACACGTCTTGTTGTGATCTTTAAGTATTGTTTTCATTCCATCTTCTTTTTTGTAAGCATTTATCTTGTTTCTTCTTCATCATCTTCTTCTTCTCCTTCTTTCACATCTATTCCTCTCTATCTCGGTTCTGCTGTTGGGTAGATACAGAGTAAAGTTTACAGGAGGTTTGACTTGACATGTAGTGATTTCCTCGATAGCTTTTGTAAACTTTCATCAGATCTTGTAATCTGGTGGGAGTTGTGACACGACCTGGTAAGACGTTAAACAGTGATCATTACTAAAGGCGAAGAGGGAAGAAAGATTAGGAACAGAAAAAAGGAAGAGGAATTGGATATGAAAGGGAAGAAATGAAAAGGTAAAATATGGGAGGAAGAAAAAAGGAAGGAAAAGGAGTTGAAAGGGTAGAAGAAGGGAAGAGGGTGGGAGGTAGGAAGAGGAGGTGAAGGGGAGGAAGAGATATTAAGGTAAACGTTAGGGACACCATGGAAGTCTTTGGTTAAGTTCAGAAGTCATCGATAGACTATAATGTGTACATAAAAACGCTTTCCCTTCAACAAAAATATTCTTTTTTTATTTTTGATCGCTGGGAGAGAGGCAACGTTTAGCAGTTTTATGGATATGCATCTGACCGCCACACCACACAGCTTCCCAGCCTGTCAAATATCCAGTGAGGACGGATGCATATAGATTGGTTGGCTACGGGTAATATGGGCCAGAAACGTGGCTTATCACACCAATGTGGCAACCAAACTGTTCCCACAGGCGATGGTCACTTATTTTCTTCTTCGTCACTTCTCATGGCTATACAGAAGGCTGCCTCACCTCACTATCTGTACACCAGTGATTATATATATATATATATATATATATATATATATATATATATATATATATATATATATATATATATATATATATATATATATATATATATATATATATATATATAACCACACAAACCACACAAGTGAGCATACAGTAGTGAGGCTGGTAGTACATAAACTCTACGGATGTGTCCTGCCACATTTCACTTACTGGGGCCAATTTCAGGTTTTGGGGGTAGCGTGAACCCGTGCAGGACTCGCTGCTCGCTCTTCCCTTTGATGTTCTCCGCGTATATGCCCAGGAGATAAGAAGTTCCTGGATGAAGCGCTTCTATCGTAAAAGTAGGCTCCACCTTCTCGGTGATATTGAATAACATGTGGCGGGTAGTTCCATCAAATTCGAAGACCTCGGCCACAAACTGCTGCTCGAGACCACCGTCGAAGCCAGGCAGACAAGACACAAACAACGTGTCTGTGGTCTGATTGGTGAGTGTACAGTTGTCAATAGCGTCTGGTTTTCCTGCAGGATTGACCTCAAAGGTACAGGGATCATATTGTTCCCCGATCTCGTTGGCAGCGAAACAGAGCACCTGTCCGTAGTCACTCTCTTTTCTGATTTGGTAGGTGAGCAGCGAGGTACTATCCTTTACAGTAAACTTCTCTTTATCTATGGGGATCAGATTGTCTGGTGTTCTGAAGTACCAGCTGAAGGTGACCTGGCTGGGTGAGGCGTTGACACGACAGTTCAACTGCACCTCGTCGTCCTTGGCAGCTCCCAGGACGCGGTCGGTAGTATCTGAGCACACCGGCACGTCTGAATAAAACATGACCACGAGTAAATAACATTCTTATTCATACTAGTACAAACAAGGCTTCAAAAATGTCATTGAGGATGATGGCTTAATCTATAATTCTTTTTCAGGGCAATAAAATTGAAGTTTTAATCATGAAAGCGTTATACCATCATATTCAAGTGTTAAATAAAGTATATAGTTAAAATTTAAATTAATATATCAATAAATGACTCTCTCTCTCTCTCTCTCTCTCTCTCTCTCTCTCTCTCTCATTAAGTCTTTACTCCATTATCCGCACAACACTGTCACCTTCTACACTTCACACCCAACCACACATCACCACTCCCACCCATCCTCCTCCACTATCCACACTTCATTACTATCCGCAATTATACCTTCACCACCTACACTTCACCAACACTACTCACACTTCACCAACACCTACACTTCACCATCACTCATACCTCACCACCACTTACAATTTCCCACAAACACCCACACTCCATTAAAACATACACTTCACCACAACCCACATTTCACCACAACCCACACTTCACCACCACCTACACTCTACCACCACTCACACCTGACTACCACCCACACTTCACCATCACCCACACTTCACCAGCACCCACACATCACCACAGCCTACACTTCACCACCCACACCTCACCAGCTACACTTACAGTTCACTTTGAGGACGACAGGTTCACTATTGCCTGTCCCGATGATGTTAGTAGCGACGCAGCTGTAATGACCAGCCTGTTGACGTTGGATGTTCCTCAGTTTCAACTTCTTGTCTTTCACTATGACTCCTGCTGTCGCATTCTGCCGCACCAGATTGCCCTGTGGGAGGAAGAGTGCATAACTACAGAGGGTGAGAGTATCCATGGAGAGTGAGATCATGAGCATCCAGGGAGAGTGAGAGTATGTGAGTCTTCAAGAGTGCATAACTACAGAGGGTGAGAGTATCCATGGAGAGTGAGATCATGAGCATCCAGGGAGAGTGAGAGTATGTGAGTCTTCAGGGAGAGTAAGCGTATGTGAGTATCAGGGAGAGTAAGAGTATGTGTGTATCCAGGGAGAGTATGTGTGTATGCAGGGAGAGTAGGAGAGCTGTAGCCGAAAAAACTCGGTGGGCGGAGAGGGTTAGAACGTCTTTGGAAAATGGAAAAGGAGGAGCCGCAACTAGATGCCTTATGGCCGGTGAGAGGGAGGGTGAGAGGGAGGGTGAGAGCCAGGGAGAGGGTGAGAGGTTTTTTTTTATCGTTAAAGAAACTTGAAATAAGGATGAGAGTATCTAGATAGTTAAAAGTTGACGTGTGGGGACCCTACACCCATTCTCTTAACATATTTCTACCCATCTCCCCTTAACATATTTCACCCATCTCCCTTAACATATTTCCCCCATCTCCTTAACAGCCCTACACTTATCTCCCTTAACATGGCCCTACACCTATCTCCCTTAACATATTTACCCATCTCCCTTAACATGGCCCTACACCCATT